AGTTCACATTTAAAAAACATCCAATTTAAAATATAACACATTTGAAGGACATATCCCATTGTTGTACTTACATTGTCTCAAACAAATGCAGATATTGCTCATCTCCTCGGCCTCCTTCTACCTCATGATCCAATTTTAAAATTATTTCATTTTCAAACTGTTCAGAGGAAGAAAGCAAAATAATTAAGCAGAGCACAAATTCTTTTTGGAACTTGTTCCTATAAAATTGATAGCTTTTACGATACTCATATGTGCATCTCTCAGATGTAGCACATAAAAGTCAAGTAAGCATGTTTTTTTTAAAAAGAGGAATATTTGTCAAAATAGCACTTGGGTTGTAATGACATTAAAAGGAATATATGATTTCATAACAACATACTAAAATTTATGTCTGCATAAGCAATTAGATCTTCTTAGAATTAGTACATAATATTTCAGGTATAATAAGATATTAAAACACATTGCATAGATACATTTGAATTGGGAACAGAATAAAAATATTCTAAGATGATTAAAAACTAGATTTTGGATATTTGCCAAGACCAGGGGTGTCAAACTGGTGGCCCGTGGACCCGGTGCATCACACACAGCCCTGCCCACCACAGCTCCGCAAAGCATAACAACCGGTTCAGTGAGTGGGCGCTTTGCTGTGCGCACATGCACACTGTTTGCAAATCACCGGCTCTGCAAACATTCACCTTCTCCTGCTGATCTGCGGCACTCAGCTGTGCCATTCAAAGCAGCAGAGGTGGAAAACACAGGGAATAAAGCACAGCCTAGAGCCCAGGCAGGTGGGTGGGCCAAACAGAAGACCAGAAGATCATCGTCGCAGTGAACCAGTTCATTATCAGCTGCTCTTCGGAGCTACCGGTTCTGCAGAATCGGGCCAAACTGGTAGAATTCCACCCCTGCTGCAAAGGCAAAAATGCCATAATATGTCACATGATTTCACATGAGGTGATCAAGACCCATGGCCTAGATTGATATTTCTTTTATCTGTTTTTAGATGTGTAGGAATCTCAAAATGAAATGTATATGAATAACCCGGATGATGGGATTGATGACACAAAGTTGGGAACTTTGGCACACACTGAGAATGACTGAATTTGCAGTCAGAATCTAATCTGGATAGGTTGGAAAACTGGAGGGTTTGTAGTTTAGAAGCACTAGATCCAAAGACTTGGGACTAGAAACTGACAACAAGCTAAACACAAGTTAGTTATGTGAGACATCTGCTAGAAGAGGTCACAGTTTTTGGCTGCTTCAGAAGAAACATATGGTAAGGGTAAATGTCATGTCAAGTGACTATAGCTATCTACTTAGCATTCCTTAGATGAATTGTGCATGATCCTGGACACCACATTTCCAGGTTAAAGTATGGCAAGAAAGACAATACAGGAATTTAAGAATTTGCCCTATGTGGACATGCCCAAGGAATTTCAGAATACAGATTTCAGATACTCAGTAATATTTAAGGCAGATAGGAAAGCTGTCATAAAGGGAAGATACAGAGAAGATGGCAAATAATTGTTTTCCCAGGACTGCAGAAATGAAAACTAGAGATAATATAAGTTATGGATATAAGTTGTGCTTATCAAGGTTTTATTTAAATATGAAGTAAACTTTGCAGTAAGACCATCAAAACAATTATTTAGGGTGGTTATGTGTTTCCCATCTCTGAAGGTTTTAAAGGTGAGACTTCTCATGAATCATTATCTGCTGCTCAATAGAGAGTTGGATTCAATGATGCTTGTGGTCACTTCCTATTCTGTAGTTCTACAATTTATTACTTTATAGAATAGAAGCCTTCTTAACTTCTTTTTAACATTACAGAAAACAAATATACTGTAAACTATATGCCTGCACATTTACAACACAAAAAAATATTATATCAGGGGCAAGACACATTGTTGGTACATACTGGTTTCTGAAATATAAAAAAATAAGGTATCACTGATAAATATTTTGCTATTAATGTTTATCACCATGATTTTAGGGCTTTGGAGAGCTGGAAAAGAAAAAACAGGTATTCCAGCTATTGTCCAGCAATTCTATGGACACCAATACACTGGCTGGTTTTATCATAAATATTCCCTGTATATGATTGTTTCAAAGTCTCAAGATAGCTTTCCTATTTAAAATAGTTTCTTAATTTAAAATTGGTATAAGAATGAAAAAATATATGTCTACCCTGTGAAGAAGGAAATATAGGGATTTCAAAATTACTCTAAAATGAAGAGCTGTAAAAAATGGATACAGTAAATCAAAAAGATACCTGGATAAAAAAGATTTTGCTTTAAACTTCTGAAGCATTAAATGGTAATGATCATAGTATTGAATAACTCTTTTTAAGCAAACCTCACTTGGATGATGAGTCATTAACTTTAATTGTTGATTTTTAAAGGCTAGTGTCTTTATGTGTTTGGAGGTCATCGATCCCTCAACTAGTGACATTTGTTATACAGTTACACTGTATGAGACAGTTTGATGAAAAAATTAAATGAATTGGGGTGTATTTTCTTGGAGATTTGCCCTCTCTGTCAATGCCATTTGATGCACCAATGAATCTAAGTAAGGTACATGTGAAACTATTTTGCTTCCAGCAATTTTTGCCCAAATCGCATTTCAGTGAAGCTTGAAAGTTCAAAGAGTGACAAGACACCACCTAACTCTGTGTGTCTCATAATATTCAGGTGATAAACCTAGGCAAAAATATATAAGACCAGGTCTTATTTTCAGGAAAACACAGTACTTGGAAAACATCTGGCAGCTACCTATATGAATAGCAAAGGTCTGTCCTCCACCAGCAGCTTCTATAAGTTCAAATCTTTAAAAATAATGTAAGGAATCCAGTACATTTGGTACACTGACTTGAAGATCCACCAAACAGAATTATATCTGGAGATGCATGTCCCTTATTAGAACACATAAGTTTGATGGAACAAAACTTTATTCTTCTCTAAATTTGCCTTGGAGGATTGGGAAAATTAGATGAATATCTAGGAGAAAACTAAGAAATATGCTTATATCACACTGGCTGAATTGAATACAGGACAGGAAAGTGAATACTCAAGTGGTATGAATCAGAATTAAAAAGGTGTAAAAACAGCAAAATTTAGAACAAGCCCAGCCAGGGAAGAGTGCAAGATTTACACAGCCATTATATTTTTAAGTGGTAAAGTAATGTTGCTATTTATAAGGAAATGCTTGTGAAACAGAACTGGAAGCAAAAGTTCATGAACAGAGCAATAAGTCAGTAACTTTAAAAGAGAAATATTTCCTAATGCACTAATAAAATATACTATAATAAAATATTCAATTCATAAGAAATATGAATATAATTCTGTTTGTCTTTAGATTAGGATTAGGACTACATTGATGCATCTAGTATATCACAGGGTCAAGTGGTAATAGATTTTAGTCCTGCAGTAAGGGGAAAGTAACACTATTAGAAAATTAGAAGAATGTGATTGCCTAAATAGGGGGAAAAGATCTCTGTAATGGAATAAAGAGCTATGTATTCAAATATGTATCTGAAATTCTTATTATTAACAATAGAAAGAGAAAGAAATCAATGGGTTTAACAATTATACAACTGAAATGTGATCTAAACAGAAAAAAAAAATCTACACAGGAACATCTATTTTTTTTCCTTTATTGCCCAAACTATCAGCAATGCATTGCCTTGGAGTAAGCTAAAACTTTCTGATCCTTGGCAAAAACCAAAATGCTCATTCTCCCAAGTCTTTCAGAATTTAGTAATTTTTTAATATGAGCATTACAATAAATCTTTTAAACTAATTTAGCTGCTTTTTCTGCTCTGATTTTTTTATTTTGTATTTTTACTTTAAAGTCACTTTACTTAGATTTTAATGTGTTGTAAATTGTCCTTGAAAACTGCTCTTTTGAAGGACATCCCATAAATAAATAGAAATGCAAACTCACTGAACCAGTCATCTTTTTTTTTTCTGGCACAGAATACGAATCATTTGCATTTAGTGTTAAATCAGGTGTCAAGACCTGACACAACACTAACAACTACAAAGTAAAAATGGACTAGCCAGAGATGTTTATCTGATTGTAATAATAATTCATAAAGATCAAAGTCACCAACAGTAGATCATTACCAGATATTCCCCATTTTACAGTGTATGGAATGGAGAACATTCCCCCAATTACTTCCTTTTCCATGTTTTCAGTTACAAAATATATATAATAATACAGTACACAATAATACAGTACACAACACAGAAGCCTGATGATGGCAGATGAGATTCTTCTGAAACATTGCTACAACTTTAAAAGCACAACTACAATGACGTGGGAAAATACCCAAACAAAGCTGAATACCATACATGTAAGTACCCGCGAAAACTTAAGAATGAATATATATGTGTGTGTGTGTGTGTGTGTGTGTGTGTGTGTTTTCTTAAGTTTTCACAGGTACTTACATGTATGGAATTCGGCTTTGCTTGGGTATTTTAAAAGCACAACTTTAAAAGCACAACTACTACCCGAGCAAAGCCGAATTCCATATATATATATATATATTTGTTTTCTGAGGTTCTTGTGGGTATTTGTATGTGGATCTTTGGTTATTCGGGTTTTCTCC